TGGAAAGTTGCAGGGAAGCTGATCTGAGGTAAAGGAAAGGTACGGCAAAGCTTTCTGGGGAAGGGGGAAGGATGGTAGCTTAAAGATATTCTTGTGACTATGAAAGGATGCCCCTTCCCCCGACCCCCACCTGTATTAGTCCAGTTTGACTGGAGTTACATAAATAAGTAACAGGGACCAGTGAGAGGTCTGGTTGGCAAGACAAGTTGAAGGCAAGTTTGGATGAGGGTCCCATGCTTGATTTCTGTTGCAGGTCAAGGAATTGTCTCTGTCTCTGCCCTGACTCATAGGCTGAAATAAAGATATAGACTGGTGATATTCTAGGAATTATCTTTCAGATTCATTCAAATTTTCAGTAGAATCCAGTTTACTTCAGTGGATATAAGAGGTCCCCATTTCACATGAGCTTTTCTCAGCTCTTAAAGGTCTTTCGTTCTGACAATGTTTTTAACCAAAAAAAAAAAAAAACCAGAAGATTTCTCCTTCAAATGAGAAAAAAAAAATTCTCATGCTTTAAAGTCCTCTGAATTCAGGAAGGATATGCCTATATGTTAAAAGGATATGTTCCTTTTAAGAATGTACCTCGAGCCTGAGAGACAGTACAAGAGTTAAGACACTGGTCTTCCATGCCAACAACCCTGGGTTCAATTCCAGGCACCCTACAGGGTCATCCAAGAACAGCTCAAAGTAATTCCTGAGCAAGCACAGAGCTGTATGTAAGCTCTCAGCACCACCAGGCATAGCCCCACCAAAAAAAATTAATAAAATTAAGGATCTCTATTAAACCCACATAAGATATTTTTCCTCTTGATTAACTCACAGTCAATTGATTAATGAACTAATTAGAAGCATATTGTAGTCACAGAAGTGTATCACATTATGTATGTATCATTTTCACAGGTGCAGTGTATATTCAATGCTTGCATTCAGTGGGGAGGGGGGCGGGTTATACTAGGCAGAAATTGGGGGGGTCAGGAGGACATCTTTTAATTTTGCCTTTCCCAGAGAGTTTTTCCACTAGTGAAGTTGGGAAGGCGGAGTTGAGAAAATCTGTTTGGGGAATATGGCAACAGGAGGCCATTCAGTATACTGTGGCCATCACAGAGAGGACGTGATAGGAAAGAAATATTGGAGAGGGGGCTGGAGAGAGAGTACAGTGGGTCGGGCATTTGCCTTGCACGTGGTCGACCTGGGTTCGGTTCCCAGCATCCCATATGGTCCCCCAGGAGTGATTCCTGAGTGCAGAGTCAGGAGTCAGCCCTGAGCATCACTGGGTGTGACCCAAAAAGCCAAAAAAAAAGAAAAATAGTGGAGAAACAGGTCACCATGAGCAAATTCTCAGGGCTTGCTGTCCTGATGAAACGCTCTCTCCTACCTGACTTTGTGACAGACTCCTCACATCCCCTGTTTTCTTGCCTTGTCCTTGATGGATGACCTTTAATTAGGGCCTCTATTGATATGCCACACAGTTTATTTCTTTCATTTTACTCTTCAAGGGCAAAAAAGATAGCATAATGGATCACGTGTATGTTTGGCATGTGGAGGGCAAGTATCGATACTATTTAAAACAAAAAAAATATTTTATGTCAATGTTTGTGGGGAGAAAACCCAAGCAGTGCTCAGATACCCAGGAACCATGTCTGATGATTCTCAAACTGCTGGCCAGTTCAATGCTAGAGCCTAAGGATGCAGATCTACCTGGGTCCCAACAGAGAGGGAATTCCCCAGAGCCACCTCAGTGATGCTCAGAGGCTTCTACAACAGCACCCAGTGATGCTCAGAGGACCATTTGATGCCGGGGACCAAACAGAGATTGGCCACATGGAGGCCTGAGCCGTAACCTCTGAACCATCTCTCTAGTCTTGACACGTTTCTTTTTGTTCATCCATCCCACTCAACGTCAAGCTCAATAAGGACAGGAACAATGTGCCATTTGCACATCACTGTATTTTCAGAGCCTGGCACAAAAACTTAATAAACATCGAATGAGGCAAAGGTTAAATGAATGAGTATTGGTGTCAGCTTCTGGAGACAGGTTTAAGGATGTAAGACACTAGAGAGGTCTAGTTTAGGTTAATTGAATTTGAGAAGACTGAGAACTAAGTGTCTGGTTAAGTTCAATCAGTATCCAGGTATGTGCATGGTCAGTCACAATAGAAAAGGTAGCCATGTCAGGGGGTTATGGTGCCACCAGCAGGTCAATCTCTACCTGTGAGGTGAGTGCATCAGCAGCCTGATGGCACCTTCAGACTTCCAGATACCCCCAAATTGCTGTTGTGCCTTTGGCTAGACCCCAAAAACTTGGGGCAAAGTTTACCAAGAAAGTAAACAGCCAAAAGTTAGGTATGTCGGAGACACACCCACAAACCACCTCGGGCTCAGCTATATAATTGGAGGCATGGCCTCTCTGGTTCCTGATCGAACTGCTTAATGGCCATGATCCCAGAGACTCAGAAACAAATCTCAGAACCCAATGGCTTTTGGCAGAAATACGCCTGATCCCTGCAGTAGGTTACCGGCACTGGGCCATCCCAGGTGGGAATAGGTTTCGTGCCCTGTCCTGTTCCCCCTGGCAGCCCAGTGGCCACCATCCTCCAGAGGCCACTGAACAGTCAGGTTTGGGCCCACAGTGATGAGACACGTGGGACCTTACAGGATGGGGATAGAGCCAGCCCTTTTATCCCCATCCCAAAGAGACCCTGGGTTGCCGCCCATGAACGGCCTCTCTGGTTCCTGATCAAGCCGCTTAATACCATGATCCTAGAGACTCAGGAACAAATCTCAGAACCCAGCAGGTTTTGGCAGAAATCCCTCCAGATTCAATTGTTAAAATTTTGGAATTTCAAAATCGCGCAGCCACTACTGCAGCCACACGACATCATATGTTATTCATAACCAGCAATAGAAAACAAATTGTCTACTGTTGCCTCTTCAGCAGATCTGAGTGTTGGGGTAAAATCCCAAATAATAATGGTGGGTCTGGTGTCAAAATATTGGATGTAATCAAAGTAGAGAGAGTAATGTGGAGATCATCTGCCCCACAGGTAGGGGGAGGGTGTGGGATGGGGGAATACTGGGGATTTTGGTGAAGGTACGGGTGTTTCATTGTATGACTAAGACTTAGACCCGAAAGCTTTGTAATTGCTCTCATGGTGATTCAATAAATAAAATTATAAAAAATGAAAAAAAAGATAGCCATGTCTAACAGGGTGTGGAACTCTGTGATGACCAGGCAAAAGCACGTGCAGTCAACTGAATGCTTCCCCAATCCCAATTCCTATGTTGCAAAGCTAACAACAGTGAGGTAACATTAAGAGGTGGGAGCTTAGGGTGCTGATTAGGTATTGAGTGGGGGAGTCCCCAAGAATAATATTTGTGCCCTTATTTTTCAAACATCTCAGGTAGCCTCCATTTTCTTCCGTCCTAAGAAGACACAGCCCCATTCTTAGATTGGGTGTCGGCACTCCTTGCCAGACTTCGAATCTGAGGCTCCTAGATCTTGAACTTGCCAGCTTCTTGAGCTGTGACCAATAAATGTTTGTTATCTAAGTTGCCCCAGGTATGGCATTTTTGAGCAGGCTGGATTGATAAGGACAGCAAGAAAACTGGATTTTGAAGTCAAACTTTATCAGATATTACTTATCTCTCTTTTCAAAATCTCTGAGACTTGAACACATAGTTTGAGGGTAAGAATGGATATAATGACACAATCAGGAGCAAATAGCCTCTTTCTGCATGATTCTTTCATTATATGAAAGTCTGTGGGAGGGAATAAAGGCACAAAGGACATTTATGTGTCTAACCAGTCTTCAGGGCTTGGGTAAGGACAATGACAAGGATGCTAGACCATTAATCATCCCTGGAGAGTGGCTCAAGGCTGTTGAACTTCATTTTTTTTAATTTTTCTTTTGGAATAAGGGTGAGACCACACCAGCAGTGCTGGGGGCTCCTGTCTCAAAGCTTGAGGGTAGCTCCAAAGGGTGCTCAAAGAGCCAGGTCTGTCGGGAATCAAACCAAGACCTTCCACAGGCAAGGATAGTGCCATAATTCATCACTTCTTTTTACAGCTCTGGCTTAATGTTTTTTTTTTTCTCCCTTTCTACTTCAATGAATTCCTCATCTAACTCTTTTCAACCTTACTGTTTTTATCTCTTTTTGTTTGGGAGGAGGGGCTGTTTTATGGTTTGGTTTTGGTTTTGGGTCACACTCAGGGGTCACTTCTGGCTTGCACTCAGAAACTACTCCTGATGGTGCTCCAGGGACCATATGGATGCCAGTGATGTGCACATAACCAGGTCAGGTATAGGCAAGGCAAGTGCCTCACCCGCTGTACTTTCTCTAACCCAACTATTTTTCCTTTTTTATTTAAAAATTGTTTTTCTCTTGCCACATATATATAAATATATGTATATATGTATATGTGTGTGTATAGTTATTTCACCAGTCATTTATCAGTTCTCAGTTTGTCTTGAAACAGTTCCCTTCTCTAGGGGCCAGAGAAAGAACACAGTGGTTAGGTGCTTGCCTTGCACACAGCCAACTCAGGTTCCATTTCTGACACTGCACATGGTCCCCTGAGGATCTCTAGGACTGATCCCTGACCACAGAACCAGGAGTGATTCCTGAGCACCACTAGATTTGGCCTAAAAGTAGTTCTCTCAGGGACAGATACAGAGTGATCTCCCTCATATATGGAATATAAAAAAAAGAATATATATAACAAGAAAATAACAAATATCCAAAGGTAATAGAAACTTTGAACTGGTGTTCAGTAGGAAGTTTAACCACCGCAGGGAGGATGTGGTGGTAGAATAGAACGGGTGAGTCCACTGGGATAATGGTAGAAGGAAACTGACCCTCTGGTGGAGGGTTTGGTGTTGGAATGTTGTGTGTATAAACTCTATCATTGACAGTATTATAAATCATGCCTAAAATAAAATTTAAAAAATCAGTGGTTCCCTCCTCTTTGCTCCTCATACCTCTCCTTCCCTTCCTCACAGGTACACGGCAGTGGTCATGCCCGTTCACTACCAACACGGCACAGGACAGAGCTCCTGCAGGCGCGTCGCCTTCATGATTACAGCCGTCTGGGTACTGGCCTTCGCTGTGTCTTGCCCACTCCTCTTTGGCTTCAACACCACAGGTAACAAGGCTGCCCCAGCTCGAGCAAACATGAGACTCACCTGCACAACTGGGAGAGTGCTCGGTCCTAAATGTCTCTTGACCCCTGGGCTATGCATTTTATTAAATAGGGATGAAACTGACCCCAAAACTTTATCTTTGTTGACGATAAGTAAAAACATGGGACCAGTGAGATAGTACAGAGGGTAGGATTTGATGCCCTGTACCTAGATGCAGCCCTCTAGGAGTAATCCCTGACAGCAGAGCCAGGGCTAAGCCCCACCTGATGTGGCCCCAAAACCAATTAATTAATTAAGTGATAATTAGAAAGCAAGCTTTCATCAATTATTGGCATGGGGGTAAAGATCCTCTTTAAATGTTATTATTTCTGGGGGCTGGAGCAATAGCACAGCAGGTAGGGCATTTGCCTTGCACGCAGTTGACCCAGATTCGATTCCCAGCATCCTATATGGTCCCCTGAACACCGCCAAGAGTGTTCCTGAGTGCATGAGGCAGGAGTAACCCCTGTGCACTGCCGGGTGTGACCCAAAAAACAAACAAAAAGTTGTTATTCCCTACCTTGAAAACAAAAATGTCATCGTATTCATTTGGAGCTGTGTGCTAGTTCAATGTATAAGCTATATTAATAAGGCAGGTAGGGCTTCTTTATGAAAGAACTCACAGCTGACTTGAATTGCAAAAATAAAGCACATTATAAAAGCCACCAAGTAGGATATATATTCCTAACTTTTTACATCTTAAGGATCAATCTGGCATTTGGGAACTTATTCCTACACTATCGAGGAATATAGTTCTCATGTGTATATCTGAGATGGCTGGGATTTTATAAATAGCACTGATCCAAACTTACTCCTCACATGGATCAGAACCTCTGGGTCCGTTTCATCCTCATCTTGCAGCTTGAGGATGCCCATGTTGAATGAAAGCAATTATCAGGTAAAGCACAGGTACAGAAAGTTCTCACTTGAATTCTTGATACATTCTTAATAACTGACTTTGAACAAAATAATGTTCAAAAACCCAAGTTTACCATGAGCTAATGTTTTGTGTTTCCCTCCCTTCCCTTCATTGTGACTGATAATATTTTAGTGCTGACTGGTGAGTCCCACACACACCTAAGTGTAGTACTTGCACATTTAGTTGTAGTGCCAGTGGGATATCAGACTTCCTGGCCATGGTTCTCATAAATATGAGAATCATATCATAATAATATCATAAGACACTTCCTACCCATTGTCCATAATTTTTTTTAAGCATGGTATTCTCTGGAGGTCATACTCTATGTTTTGGTGTTTACCTCTTCCTGACTTCAGCAAGGTTCACAGAGCATCGAGAGATGCCAGGATCATACTTGCACATGTGGCAGCACCAGAGCTCAAACTCGCAACCTTACATTTATAAGTCAAGTCCTAAACTACCAAACTTAATTCCATCAGACCCTTGAATTAAGTTCTGAGGGCATATTTCTGATCTCAAAAGACTTCCTAAATAAAGACTGCAAAACACTCTTGATATTAAACAATAATTTACACTTCTTTGTTCATGAATGGACCCCGCACCAGGCTGTTTTCACTCAGGGTGCCCCAGAGGGGGGCAGGTGAGAGCCCTTCCTGCCCCAAGGGACCCATCCTCGCAGCCAACTTCCACTACCCAACCGCTGCCATGCTCCAGGCCACTTTCTGGCCATGCTTCGCGGCCATGTGACACATCATAAGATACTTCCTACCCATTGTCCATAATTACCACACCATGTTTGATGGGGTTCAGACAGTAGACAACAAATCATAGAGCCCAGCAAGCTACTGAGAGTATCCTGCCCACAAGGGCAGAGCCAGGCAAGCTCCCCGTGGCGTATTCAATATGCCAAAAACAGTAATGATAAAAAGTCTCATTCCCCTTACCCTGAAAGAGCCTCTAATTGTTGGGAAAGACGAGTAAGGAGGTAAAGGTAAAGGTAAAGGTCCTCCCGTTGATCGTCGATTTGCTCGAGCGGGCCCAGTAACGTCTCCATTGGAGACTTTGTTGTTACTGTGTCTGGCATATCCAATACTCTCGGTAGCTTGCCGGGCTCTCCGAGAGGGGCGGAGGAATCGAACTCGGGTCGGCCATGTTGGCCGCGTGTAAGGCGAACGCCCTACCCGCTGTCCTATGGCTCCAGCCCTAAAGGCGACGCCGACGAGGATGGGATTCGAACCCACGCGTGCAGAGCACAATGGATTAGCAGTCCATCGCCTTAACCACTCGGCCACCACGAGTAAGGAGAGGCTGCTAAAAAACTCAGGGCTGGGAGGAATAGAGACGTTACTGGTGCCCACTCGAGTAAATCGACAAACAACGGGATGACAATGATGCAGTGATATTTGTTCATTCGTTTTTCAACTAGCTCATTCCAGTTCAGGATCACAAGCAGCTAGAGTTTAATTCCAGCAGCTCTGGGTGCAAGGTGGGGACCAAGTCTGGACAGGATTTCCTTCCATCACAGCTCGCTTCCCACCCACACCTACTCCCAACACACTCTCCTGCTGCGGGGGACTGAGTCATGCCTCTAAAGCGCTCCTGCACATCTTTGGGATGTGGGAGGAGACCAGAGCTCCCAGAGAAACTCACAAACAGGCAAGAATATGCAAATGCTACACAGTCAGTGGCCCTGGCAGGGAACTGATTTTCCTTCCTCATCAACTGTATAATAAATGGCATTGAGCACAACTTTATTCAAGGAGCTGCTCTATTGACGATAAATACTGAATATTTGTTAAGAGAAAACTGATTGACTCACGTTCTACTATTCATCTGGATTTATTTTGTATTTCTTTGAATTGGTTGATTCTGTTCCTATTATGCTCCAGGTTTGTGAATTTTCATTATGTATGAATGCATACATATATATATATATATATTAGTCCCATAGCTGTGTGTTGAGCAAATATCATGTGTAACGCATTACATGTAAATTCAGAAAAATTCGACTTACAAATAATCTTAAAAAGAGCCATTTGCAGGACTGATTTCAGAGTCAAACTACATTTCAGAAGTCAGAGGCTCTGGAGTCAGGAAATCCTAAATTTAAACTGAAGTTCTATTATTCATTATCTGTGTCTCCTTGAGTAAGTGACCTAAATTTTCTAAGTTAAGTTTTCATAATGACAAATTTGGGCCAATAATACAGTGGAACATAAACTTAGGCAAATTCAAATATGTAGACTCAGGCGATCTATTTAATTAGGAAGTTTCCGATATTTATTTATATAGATGGCCTCTTGCAAATCAGTCTAGCAACTTCATCTCTAACATTGCATGTTGTATTTGAATTCTTTTTTTTTCCCCTTTGCTGTGTTGTGTTGTTTTGTTTTTGCTTTCCTGTCTTGGTTTTTGGGCCACAATCAGCATCACAATCAGGGATAGTCCTGGTTCTGTGCTCAGGAGTAAGCCCTGGCAGTGTTTGAGCACTGCATGTGGTACTGGGAAATCAAACTGGGGAAACTGGCTGCAAGGCAAATGACTTAACCCCTGTTTTATATTTCTGGTACTGGTATTTGAAATCTTTATATGATGATATATAGCACGTATTTTCTGTAGGCTTCATGAAATCTTGCTTGCTTGCTTGTTTGCTTTTTGAGTCGTACCCAGGAACGCTCAGGGATTACTTCTGGCTCTGCAATCAGAAATCACTCCAGGTATTGCTCGGTGGACCATATGGGATGCCAGGGATGGAACCCAGGTCGGCCACGTGCACGGAAATCGCCTTACCCACTGTATTATCACTTTGGACCCCTTGTGTTTCTTTTTATGAAGATTTTTGTTAAGCAATCTATTATAGTTTTGACCTTATATAATTTCCCTTATTAATTGACCTTATACTTACGATATAACTCCATTCATCTCCACCAAAGATTTTTTTCCCCAACAATTTACTGAAGATTAGATGGGATCAGAGCTATGCCAGTTATGTGCCATCTTCTCTAGAACAGACTTCTCTACCACAATTAAGTTTAAATAACAAGGTTAAATAAAAAACAAATATTTGTCTAGTTTATTCATGATCTTAAACTACAAAATTATCACCTTTCATGACTCTTTTCCAGTGGTTGCTTTGTTGTTTATAGTGAAGGACACTTTATGCACACAAAGACACACGTGTAACATTTTCTAATGACTATGGAAACTGATGCTGGCTACTAGTTTTGCTAAGTGCTAAATGTGCTTTTCACTTTAACCTGATAATTAATCCACCTTCTCTATCAATTTCTACATTAAATTGGGAACATTTTTTGTTTGTTTTGGGGCCACATCTGGTAGTGCTTGGGAATTACTCCTAGCGGTGCTCGGAAGACCATATGGGATACTGAGATGGAACCTAGGTTGATGCATGCATGCAAGGCAAATGTCCTACCCACTATACTATCTCTCCAGCTCCACCCAGTGTAACCTGTAGTTTGGGGGGGCACTTATTACCTCAGCTACACAAAGACATCTTTTACCTCAACAAGCAGCAAATCCACACCAGCATTTGCCGAGCTGAGTGATTCTTCTTATTCATTCTTGGAAGCTGGTGGGGGCGGTCTTAGATACATACACACACACACACACACACACACACACCCTGGTAACAGCTAAAACGGTCTCAAATCTGACATTAGACAGAGTTCCCAGTTAATGTCAACATCTAAAGTGAAGAAGAATGATGAGCTAATTGCAGTGTTATTGCCGTTAGTGAGATCATTATTGTTCCAGAAACAAAACTCAGAAATTTTCTTCCAAAAAGATTCTCAAGTATAGAATTGAGAAGGCAAAGAAAATGCTGATGGATGTACTTTCTGGATAGTCACTCATCTCTTTCACTTTTTAATTTACTAATAAGACTAGTTAACTAGTTATTCATTGTGTATTGTCAAGTCCATTGTAAGAGTCCAGCAGATCTTAACGTGTGTTATTATTGCTATTATATGCTTAAGACAGGGGTTTCTGTGCTTTAAAAATGAACTATGCTCCTGCTCTAAGGGA